GGACGTGGTGTTGGGTTTACGGCGTACGGTTTAGGATTTAGGGTTTAGGGTTAGGGTCTAGGATTTAGGATTTAGGATTTAGGGTTTAGGATTTAGGGTTTAGGGTTTAGGGTTTAGGATTTAGGGTTTAGGGTTCTGAAGGGGGAATGGGTGCGGGAATATGAGCTCTACCGTCCATGGAGGCAGTACTGTAGTTCCTGGGCCATTGCAAGATTTCCTCCATCAACTATATCATCAAAGGTTCTATAATGGTCATTATAGCGATCCATTCCCCACCTCCGCCTTAAGCATGAGTGAGATGAAGGTCCCTAAACCATTGCAGTGTGTTGTATATTGGACGGGTTTCCATATAGTAAAGTGTCTGGGCAGCAGAATGGGTGCTCCTTCAGGCATGGCTGTTTAGGGTTTGGGGCCTAGGGTTTGGGATTTCCTTGGGGAAAGTAAGGAGTACGTTTAAGGTGTGGTGCATATCTTCAGCAGATCTCATGGCAGGCATTGTTTGAAACTAGCCCCATAACGTCACAACGCTTTCTTCCAACAAATCGGCTGCAACTCATACCAGCGACACAATTGCTGCACCCAATACCTTTAACGCTTAACCTAGACCTAGTGTACAGCTAGATATACTGTAATGGTACTGAAGAGAAGTAGTAGACGCTTCAGGATGAGACAGTGCTACTCATGACTTGACATTCCTAAACCATGAACTTTAAACACTGTATCCCCAAACCCTACACCTCAAACTCTACAAACCTAAATCTCAAAGTTTGAGCTCGCAACTCAAAAACCCTAAACCCTAAACTGAATTTAAGCTCAAAACCCCAAACCCTAAACTTTGAACTCGAAACCTTAAACCCTAAACCCTCAGAGGGCCTGGGGTTTCTTGACCTCCTGCTACTGCTTTGTGAGATTCTGATACACTTCTAGATAATTCTCAACATAGGAAACCCCGTAGGGATACATGAGCCACAGCAGCTAGAGTCCAAACTCCTTAAAGGGGATTATACAGGGGAGTATTATAGAGGTTATTTGAGGAGAATATTAGGAGTTTAGACTATGGTCCACATGGAGACTACGAGTCGACTCCCCCATGATAAGGATTCTATGTGAGTAGTATTTTGTTGGTGCTTAAACCCAGTAAGATTATATGCCTGATATGAAATACTATACCCCAAAAGGAGGATAGAATCTTACTCTATATATTGGGTACCGTAGTATCAAATAAAATACTGCTCATGTGATCTTCTTGTTAGTCGACGTCGCGTAATACTCTTACTCCGCCTCCTCATCCTCCTCCTCTTCCAGCGCTGGCGGAGGCGGCACCCCCAAAGAGCTGTAAATAGAAGAGCCGCTGTGACTTACTACGCCTCCATTTTCTAGTAACTTTGGAAACTGACGAACCCAGTTTTAAGAAACAACAAATACGTATCTTGCTTTGATATACATATACATTAATGTATAAATACGCTTCACGGTACTTTCAAGGACTTAGACCCCACACCTGAAACCCTAAACCCTAGGCCCTAAACCTCAAGCCCTAAACCTTAAACCCTAAACCCTAAACCTTAAACCCTAAACCCTCAACCCTAAAAGCAATGCAGCTGTCCTTCGCCTCCTCCTTCTTCTCAGGGGCCGGGCTAGGCTCCTTGACAGCGGCCTTCGCCTCCTCGGCAGAAACGAGGCGAGAAAGGGGATCAGGGCTTACCCTAAGGCTCACAATAGCCCAAAAGCCTTATATAGTATGGTCAGGGCTTAGGGTGTAGGCATACCTGGACCCCAAAAGTATGTAAAATGATAGCCTTTTGGGCTGTGTTTAGGGGTTTAGGGCTATTATTTTACATACTGTTGGGGTTCAGGTAGGGATAAGGGTGTAGGCATAAGGGTTTGTAGGGCTTAGGGTTAAGGGATTAGGGTTTAGGCTCTAGGGCTTAGAGATTAAAGTCTAGGATGTAGGGATTAAGGTCTAGGGCTAAGGGTTCAGGGGTTCAGGCTCAGGGATTCGTGTTTAGGATTTAGGATTTGGCGCTCTCCCGAAAGGTCCAGGGACCTATCTGGGGCTTCCAAAAATTAGAGGTCCCTTTTCGGGGTCATCATAGATATGCAATAGTTGTTTAGGGTTTAGGGTTTTTCTTGGGGTCCTGCTCTTTATGGGAACCCCTATGTAGAAGATACTTAGGCATGACGCTACCTATGTGGAAACTCGCTTTGGCCCAATGTATGTACTGTATCGCCAGGCTGCTTGTGGCTTGAGCAGCTTAGGAAGGCTGCTGTGTAGAGAATACATCTTCTTGGGTCTGGGTGGCTTAGGGATTCGGTTTAAGCGCTCGTGGTATTTATAAGGTTCAAAATTTAGCACGCGTCCTGCAGCCATAGCAAAAAGCCCAGGCTCCGTTGATGGTTAATCTTGGCCACACGTAACTGGCAGCTCTTTCAACATCCGCAAGGCCAGGCATCCGGACAGCATAGGGGAACAAGGTCTGCATACTGTACTAGATTCTGCTGACAATGCGACCATGCCCATGCTGCAGGAGCTGCTGTCATTATGCCAGGCATCCAACGAGTTTGCCTGTTCCTTTCAAAACTGCGAGGATGACCACACACTCGGAAGCCGAATTGCCAGAGATGACTTTGACTGGGTTGGCCCCTAAAACCAATATTAGTATATAGCGTCCCTTACTAAACACATTAGGGAAAATATCAAAAATCCCAGGAGCCTACCCAGTTGAGTGCCCAGAACCCTCAGAAATCAGAGTATTAAGAAGTCATCAAGTGCTCCTGATGCACAGTCAGCGCGCTAAGTCGCACGTCAACGGACATCTGTGTAGCTTTTTTTTGGTGGTTGAACCTAGTAAGATCATATTCCTTATATAGAATACTATACCCAAAAGGAGGATAGAATCTTACTCTATATCGGGTACCATAGTATCCCCAAATAAAATACTACTCGTCTCTGCTTGCTGTAGAGTTTCAGAGTTCCACGGGTGGGGCCGAAGAGGTTCGGGGTGAAGGTCGTAGCGTTTACTTGGGCTAGCGTGGGGACATGGGGCGGTAGCACGTCAGTGGATGTGGGAGGCATTTACAGGCTAAGGCTCGAGGGCTTGGGAGTCCAGTTCTAGGCGTTACGGATTTGCATTTTTGTTTACGCCCCTGAACCCTTAAAACAAACAACCCTAAATCCTGAGCCCTACACGCCAAACGCTTAAAGCCCTAAACCCTTAAACACCTAAATTTGGGCACATTATAGTATATTATTAGCATACTACTATACTATACTATACTATACTATACTATACTATACGACACTATTATATTTTTTTAAATTTGGGATCATTGGTCTAGGCATGAAACCCTCAACCCTAAGACTGCTCCGGCTGGCAAAGCTGCTTAGGTTCAACAGGCATGCACAAGGAAGGACTGGTAACTTTGTTTATAAGTGGGGTAACCTGCATGAGTCCAATGAGGTGGGTTATGAGTAGGGTTATACAAGCCCAGTTATAAGTAGTTAGTATTGACTGAGCCCCACGACTCGTCAAGTATATAAAGTAACTCAGGGCGCTGGGCTCGAGTGCCTCTGGCAGCACCAGCGAGCCTCTACTTGAAACCCTATACCCTGCAACCCCAACCCAGAAACTCTTATCCTTAGAACCCTGAGCCGGCGTTAAGCCTCCGTCCCCCTGAAAAAGGCTACACCCTGGACTTAGAGCAGTGCATGGCAGGGGAGCCCAATATAAACCCCAATATCCAACAATCCGTCTTACCTGGACCCCACAAAATGGTACCCCCTTCCCCTCCCACCCTAAACCCTAAACCCTGAACCCTAAACCCTAACCCTGAACCCTAAACCCTAACCCTAAACCCTAAACCCTAAACCCTAAACCCTACCCCCCACAACCCCATTAGGAAACCCCTACATCAAAGCTTGGGGCCGCTGCTGGCTTAGCCTCTTCCTCATCTTCATAGCTGTCATAGCTCTCCTGCTAGAGCGGATGGGTGTACTAGTGCTCCGGAAGAAGCAGCTATACATAGTGTGTAAACACACACATATATATATATATATACACACATGTATATACATATAGCCGGGCGCGGGATTTAAGACGTCAATATATTTATAAAGAAAAAAAAGAGGGTTTTGGTAGGTTCAGGGCGATTTTTCGCGGATTTGACGGTTTTTCAGGGATTTTAGTTAGTTCCCGCGCTCGGTTTAAGGTTTTCAGGGTTTGAGAGGGATATTTAGCGTTTGATTTGGGGTAAATTTCAGAGTAGCTCATGGATTTGCTGGGTTGCGGCTGTCGGAAGTGAGAAGGCATGGGAGCCTCCTTCGCAGGGCTGACATGGGCTCAGTCCACCATCTGTGTAATGTAGTCCTGTAGGTTTGCAATGGGCAAGCCCAGAGGTTCCAGTCTCCAGGTACGCCAAAGACAAGATGGTGCTTGTGGTGGCATAGGCAAACGACGCCTTGTCCGATTGCACCTCTGGAAGGGAACACGTAAAGGAAAGCGACGACAACATGGGGGGCAGCAGGAATCAGAACATGAAGAGGAAGAAGCTTTGGACCCTTACAACGAAGGAGCTCCTGACATCCCAGTTTATGCTGACATACCATATACCCGGCGTGAGCAATGCAGCCCAGGCCGTGATGCTCGTGGCAGGCGCAGACTTCCTGGGAAGGACAGCAAAAAACAACGGGGCATGTCTTTGTACACACTACTGCATGGACCAGATGCTGAGCGCAGAGTTTTCGAGTGGTGTGTGCAAGCAGGTTTTCTGTTGGACGCAAGGGATCCTGATATCCGACCTTACCCATGTCCGAAATGTGGCCAAAGAGTCTCCTGGAACTTGTCGGAAAACAGATCTGGTGATGGCTTGTCTTATGAGTGCCCGCGACCTTGCAGGTACCGGGAGGCCGTAACAGCATGTGAGTCAGATTTGTTTCTGCCACGAGTTGCTCTGAGGTGTTGTATCTGTTTATTCATTACAAGCAGCCTGGCGTGGAAAAGATGGCATTCGATGCTAACGTGGACGAAAAGGTAGTCAACACTCTTGTGGGCAAGGTCAGGAAGCTGGTGTCGTGGTGGATGATGCGAGCTAATCTTGTCTTGCAAGTTGGTGGGCGAGACGACGACGTAGAAGCAGATGAAGTTAGCTTCAGAAACACGGTCTTGACTGATGAGGCTAAGCCGCGAGTTCAATGGACAAGGCTTGGCGATTTCAAGCTCATAGCTCCAAGATTAGCCTATATACTTAGGGCTTAGGATTGGTGTCACGCCCACTCGGCGCTATGGGCTTCGTTTCATCCGGGTTTGTCCCTTTAATTACTAACCCCAATGCATTTCTTTGATAATATAAGCTTAGTATTATCTGGGTGGGTCCCTTTACTACCCCCACTGCATTCTCATCATAGTATGAAAATGCACATCTGTGTGGGTCCTTTCATTACCCGTAAAATCACTTTCATTATAATTTGGGCTTAGTAGTATTTGGGTAATTCCCTTTACGAATCCCCCAATGCATTTTCATCATAGTATGGGCTTAGCAGTATTTGGGTGATTCCCTTTTCTAATCCCCCAATGCATTTCTTTCATAGTATGGGCTTCGTATTATCTGGGCGAATCCCTTTACTGACCCCATTGCACTTTCCTCATAGTATGGCGTTAGTATTATCTGGGTGGGCCCCTTCACTACGCACAATGCATTTCTTCCATAGTATATAGGCTTAGTACCCTAGTCCCTGCAAGGTTCGTGGGCGTCGTTCGGCGCGGAAGCTCATTGTACTACTGGGGTGAGTTGGACACTCGCTACACTACTGCGAAGCAAGGTGGTGGCGGCAAGCTTGGAACGGAGGAGTGGCAGCATCACATGCTGCGTCGTGGTGACAAGTATGGCTACAGAACACGTCCTCTCATAGCGTATGGGTCCATCGTGCACACAGACACCGCCAACACCTACATGCAGATGCACCGCCTTGGCAAGAACCCTGTCTACCAACATTTGGGTCTGTGGGTGACGCAGGTTCGGCATTCTCGAAAGAAAAATGCAGAGGGCAAGATGCAGCCAGTTCAATTCGTGGTGCGCAAGAAAGTTCAGCTCATTGACGGTCAGTGGGTCTGGCGCAAGGGAGGAACGCAGAAAAAGGACGGCTTCTGGGCGCTTGTTCGCAGGCACATCAGCCGACGGGCTGTCCCTTCTGCAAATCTGCCCGTGCTTCGTGAGATGGCTTACATGTATCAGTGGCTCTATTGGCAGTCCAGCGACCCAATCGCAGATGCCCAAGCTGGCAGACACGCAAGCCCGAGGCCAAAGGACATGTTGCTCGAGCTTGGACAGCTTCGCAAGAGGCTGAGAGATGTGGTGGGATGGCAGAAGTTGAACAGCTTTGCCCTGTGGCATGACCACATCGACGAAGAGGGCTTGTCTCTCCTGCCGAAGGTACGTCTGCGGCAGCGTAGCAAGGGATCAGACGCCGAGTGAGCGTGAAAACAAGATTTGATGTGCAAATTTGGCGATGTTGCCTTGCAAGAGCGGGTTGACGTTTTAAATTCTCCGGGCCCAAATATAGTAGCCTTTATAGGCGAATATAGTAGCCTTTATAGGCGAAAAAACAGCAGAAGGCAGCTCCAACCAGGTTCCTCCCGGGTCCCTCCCGGGTCCCTTAAGCACCCCCGAAAACACTCCAGAATATGCAAAAACCCACAAATGCTACCCCTCTCAAGAAAATGGCTGACGTCTTGAATCC